AATTACATATAACAGGGAGTGTTTAGTATGGTACCTAAAGCTTAGGGGTACTGAGAGCTTTCACAAATTGAGTGGACACGAAAGGGTTAGTTGACAAAGATTTGAGTTTTTTTACATATATTTATGTAGACATAAATATTAAGTTGCCTTTTTCAAAAACAGGTTGCCCTGTTGCGTGTTTTATAAAACTAAATCGAGCCCTAGTTGTTTTAATATTAGCCTGTAAACGTACATGGGTGTTGAGACGTGTTATTATGAACAATGAAATGAAAGAAACAATAGATTGTTTGTTCAAGCAAGCTATGGTGTTACACATGCTGCCATATGTTTATCTATGTGATCTAGTACAACAGGTGGGGCAGGATGGTTGGTAATGGCGATAGTCTTCACCTGTTCCTACCTGACACACCCTGCTAATTACAGGTATGGACAGGTACGCCATTAACATTATCTACACCTGGACAGTTGTGGAGACTGGTACATGGGACGCAAACACACACTGAGAATGTTGATTGATTTGATAAATTAAAGGAACATTATATTCACAACACACTGCCTCTATTACATATGTGGGGTTGCCTAAAATTAAGTGTTTATCGGGGACATTTTTCTCAAAAGGGAATTTATTTTGATTGAAAACAAGAGTGATGTGGGAGGAACACTTTGTGTATTCTTTCATCCAAGAATACCAACAAATAAAACTGGGCCCACATTGAATTCAATGCTCTAATACATTGTCATTTTTTACGCATCCCTTTTCATGGATAAGTGTGTATGCTTCATTGATGTGGGATATTTGAAATAGAAATATTTTTTAATGGCCATAAGAAAGACTGACATGAAGGATTTTAAGTGACTTGCCGTTGTCTCAGTAGGAAATTATTTCTTTGTTCTTTTATATTGTTACTGATATAGTCATATTTATCAAATCAGTATTAAAACCTTGAACATGAACATATGTGATGTGTTATATTTTATTATTCAGTTATAGTATAAAACTAGTAAATTTTCCATTTTAAGAAGTAAAACAGAATTGACTAATAATAATTTCCTGACAATCAATGTAACATTGGGTGTTCACTCAGCCTGCCAAAGAACTGAGTTGGAATCCCCAGCTGAGTGCACTTTGTGACACTCACTACTGGTGTCCCCTCCCATGATATGGCTGGAATGTTACTAACAACGTCATAAAATTATATTCAAGCATTACTTAGTAAACAATTTACAGCCCTTATATCGTTTAATATATTCTGTATTTATAAAATGTTATCTTTGTGATGTGTCATGCATGTTAAAATCTCAATCCAGTAAATACAATGCAAACATGGGCGCCTATCACGTTTATTAACTAACACAGTCCGCTATACTGTACAATGCAGTTTAAATACACACAAACTCCCAGGCCAATATTATCTTGATGTACCCCTAGCCTTTTTTCCTTCAAGTGAGGATTGTGGTTTGACATTGCCTGCCAAGATTGTGAAACCACAGTTGTTTTTAGATAAATAGCGGGCTTGTATTCCAGCAGGCAAAGCGTATGTTATTTTAATAGATGGCCTGTGGCATAACGTAGCTAGACTAGTGAGATAGCGCGTATGGCGGAATTTATGTGTATATGGAAGCTTGTTGAAGCTTAAAGCTCTACCCTTGAGGTTGTTTCAAATATGCAAAAGTATGCAATTTTTGTCTATTATTAAGTCAGGTTCTTATACATATAATTGTATATGTGTGTAGGTTTCACCTGTTTGTTTTTTATTGGCATCCAGTATAGAAGACAATATGAAAATGGATTTGAAAAAAACCATAGTGTATATTCGTGGAAAGATTGTTTGTTTAATGCTGCACTCAGCAATATTTTAACTATATAAAGGTGGTTTATAAATAATCGAGTCTGGACCAGACAATCCAGCGATTGACACCATGAGCATCGATCTGTATCGATGCAATGACAATATCTTCCAAGTCAGCGAGCATGACCACCCGATTCCATTAGTTGCCTCTTACAACAAGATGCTGAAGACTACTATGACCCGGAACGTCTACAGAATACAATCCTACTGATGTGAATCATTTATGGAATAATAAATGTTAAAAAATACCATGTTAACAAACCTTTTTGTATTTTGGATAATTGATACTGAATGACAAAGTTTCACCATCTGTTTTTTTTAATTTGAAATGTTAAAAAGCCAATAGTTGTGCATGACGAAATTAGACTCTGTGTCGGTTCATGTGTTAAACAAGTTATCAGATTTTAGTTGTATAAAGTAGGTGTATGACGCATGCTTTGCAATTGTCAATAACTTGCTTGGGATCCAGCTATTGTATGCATATCATGATTTAGAACTTAACACCCCTATTGATCTACAGTCATATTGTACTGTTAGTGTCTCTGAGTCACTTTTATGTCATAAAATGAAGTCATTTCTTCAATATTATTCTGTACGTAATTGATTAATTTTACCTTACTAAATTGCTTGACAAGCAACAACAGATTCACCGGCTGGTTTAATGGTATGCTGTGGTCTATAATGCTTTACTTATGCATGTTTGGGGCATGTCACGCATTACCTTGGTGATAGAGTATGTATAACATACCATTTTTGATAGCTGTCAGGCCTTGAGGCTGTTGGCATGAGTATGACCAAATATGGTTTCATATACAACATAGGTAAGCTACATTAAAATGATTTCATGATACATTACAATCGATAGAGCTTTTAACTTATCAACTGTGAGATATTTTATGTGATAATAAAAATTGACATGTCTTATATAAGATGGATATGAGTTAAGTTAAAGATAAAATTGCCAATTGTAATATTACAAAACTCATATCATTACAGTTGTAACAAAAGACAGACAGATATTTCTGCAATTTCTAATGTCATAATCAATGCATGGTGATTGGTCAATTCAGTCCGAGCGACGTAAAGGCCGTGCTTGTTATTGACGCCATGGCTAATGAGACAGTGTTTCTCGGTTGCACTTTAAAAACCCGACTAAAACATGCCGAATCGTCATACGCTGAAATACACCCTGAAGACATACATTGTTTTATGATCAGAGTGTTTACCTCTTATTAATGGAGTCAGCGATGGAAGAGCGAGTGACTGAGAGTTCTACAAGTCCACTGAGACTAGTTCTATGACGTCAGAGTCTTCAGCAGCGCTTCATTGATGGACGTCCCTCTTATAGTCTGTTTTATTATTCATGAGGAAACATGATACCTAAGTGTTACTACGAGAGATTCTGAAGCAAATGGTTGTGTGACAGAAGAATATGTCTTTTTGACGTCAAACACAATATTGAAGAATATCAGAATGTATTTTTATTCTTTTTACCAAATCATACCTGCACATGCAAATCATTAAATTGGTTTTAAGGTAATTCAGTCACTAAGAATGTTGGTGACACCTTGGAGTTATATTTTTCCAAGAAAAACTTTCTTGAGTCCATTTTTCAGATCTTATTATTATTTAAAGCTTTATCTTGCCCATCCATTGTGTGTTCGTTTATTTGTTTGTTTGTTGTTTAAAGCTCCACCCAATATCCCAGCTATATGACGGCAGTCTGTAAATAGTCATGGACCAGACGATCCAGTGTACGATTCCGACTATATCCTAAGTGGCTATGAACCACTACCAAATAGTGATACAGGTGTTTGCAAAAGTTGACAATATCCTGCCCCACTTGAATACCTCTATGTGATAAGAGAGAGCTACCCTTGTGTCTTTCCTGATATATTATATTTTTTGTTCCTTATGTATTATATTTACATCCCGAAAAGTGATTCATACACCGACACATACTTATCTTTGTTACGTAGTGTTTGAGTATTTCCACAAGTATGACGTAGGTTGGGACCAAAAAGAGGTCAGAGGTGTGTATGTTATCAATTAGATATGAAAAGGAAATAAGTAATCAGGATAGAGATAAGAAATTTAGTTGGATAGATTCTGTGTGTTATCAATTAGATATGAAAAGGAAATAAGTTATCAGGATAGAGATAAGATTTTGTTGGATATTTTCTGTATTTCATGCATCTCACTAACAAAGGTTCTTACCACTGTGGATATTCTTTGTTTGGATGATGGTAAACATATTTGAGGATACTAAGTATACTCTTGTCCTTAACTATAAAAAAGCCCAAGATACTTTGTCTCATACCTGTATAATGTAACTTGCCGTACTGGTTGACAGGACTTTGTGTCACACCTGTAAAATGTAGACTTGCTTTATTGATTGAGTGAGTGAGTTGGGTTTAACAACGCTTTGAACAGTATTCCAGTTATATCACGGCGTGTCAGCTTGATGTGGGAGGAAAGCCCAAAATGATGCAGGCCTCAGACGTTTATCACTTTGGTAAAACCCATGTGCACGGGTATGGTGCTGACAAACCTAGAAATGTAATTGGGTGGAGACCGGGATGCAAACCCTCAATCATAGGTTTTAGACGCCTTTGACAATTGGGCCACCTGTGCCTTCTCAATTGATTGACTGGACTTTTTGTCACACCTGTGTCATGTAGACTTGATCAAATGGTTGACTAGACTTTGGATCATAAATCTCCGGAAGATATCAATACCGACTTAAGAATCTGTTTGAAGAATTCATAACAATTTTATACCTGTTCAAAAACTGAAAATTAAAGCCACAAGATTGTAGTTAATCAATAACAGATTATATGAGGCTGTTGCATTCTGTATGAGAAAACCAAACCATTATAATTACACAAGTAAACTTGTTGTAATTCCTGAGAAAGATGTTGCATAAAGTCCATAGGAGCAGGACATGTTTGGAAGATGCGAGTGGCAAAATTACACAAGAAAAAGTTGATGGGAGATGGGTTTGGAGAGTGAGAAGGTGAACAGGAAAGAAAATTGATGCAATGAAGGGTGGTGACCTAAGAAACAGACAGCCTCATTGAATTTTTGATTACCGCCTGACCCACAGTGATGGGAGACCCAGAGATTCCAGGCTAATTTATTGTGAAATTCATAACACTTTTCAGGCCTTGCTTACGTCAGTACTGACCCAGAATGAATTACAAGATCACCTAGCGTAGTCGGGATTCGTTGTCGGGATTCGTCCCAGCTAACTGGGATCCACCTGAGGCGAGTGAGATCTGCTGTCGATTGGCCGCTGAAATAAGCTTACTGGACTAGCGCCATAGAGTGCACAGTAGTGATGGGTCATCAAGATCCTTATGTGACAAGTCCATGATTAAACAAGAGACATAGTGCAGATTTCGCAAGAAGTGACTGTTTTGAATAATCATTTGCTGTTTGACATTTCCTGCAAGAAACTTACCGATAATTCAGAATTCTCATCGATGATTTGCAAATTGGTTTGACATAAGATCAGCTCAAGTTTACATTTTCCTTAGAATTTGTGTGCTCTCGTACATATGAGATGCAGAAAGGTTTGAATCGTTGAGAATAGATTTAATGATGGTGTGTCAATTTGTTCCTGTATTGCAACATCAGCAATTGTTTTTTATTCAGAAGAGAAGACAACAAAATGAAAAGGGTACACTCAGAAACACTAGTGTGTGGTACCGCTTGACTCAAATCTTTATTAGAGTTCTGTGTGAATGTTGACACTCAAAAACACCATGCCTCATACCAATGATGATGTGTGTATCCCTTGAATACAATAATCGATGATTCTGAAAAAGACAAACATACTTTTATGAATGACACGTTTTGCTTTTTAATTCGCGCTTTCAAAACTTATCATTAACAAATAACAGGTATATATTCAATAACTCTGAAAAACTGAATAGAAAATTCTTTCTCTGAATCAATGTATATTATATGTAATTTTGTTTTGAAATTCACCATCATTTAGAAATTAAATGGATTTACATTGTGCATACACAATAAATTTTGATTATAAACTGAAACACATTCTATATTTGTGTTAAATAACATGCATATGATTTTTTGCTATGCCATATGTATGAATGTTTTCTGTATTTGCTCATTAAATATAACAGTGCATCCACAGTCTTGTGACACTGATAGTACTACGACAAACTCATTCATAAATAATCAGTTTTTGAAAATGCACCATTTCAGTGTTATATTGAAGAGCTTATGCCTTAAAAATAGTCACTTTCATTGTTCATTGTCTGTTGTGTCAGTCAGAGACAGCTTGCACTGGATGAGAGTATTGATTGCACTGTGTCCTGTGACCCCTGCCTCTGTTCCTTTGTCCAAGGCTTGCCTTCATTCACATCATGATAATGATTTGGTACAGTCCAATAAGGAAAGAATGGAGGGGTGTCAGATTGCTGTAATGGCACTGCAGCGTGTGTAGTTTGGTAATAGTGCTGTCATAAGTTATGAATGTTTGATAACTCTTTTACAACGCTGATGCATTATTTAATATTTTCGTCCAGATCTGTTTATTCGGATTTCAGAGATGCTTTGCTCATGAAAGAGAACAACAGCATTTTGTAATTGTTGAAATGATTTAGTTCATTATGGTTGTTGCTGTGTTCTGTGTGTAAGTCAATAATGAGTAAAGGACGAGGTGACATGAAACTGCAGTTAACTCTGATGCCAATGTTCTGTTAAGCCATCCCTGCAGGCTTTCTCCAGGGCAGTTTGAACATTTCCACAAGTATGGCATATTAAATCAATTTAAAACATCCACAGTGGTAAATACTCAAAGTTCTAGCCACATGAACCCCACTTGATTTGTATTTGAGTTTGCCAATTTTATCTCAGGCTAATCACAGGTATTTGAATTAAATTATTGAAGCGCATACCACGAAGGTGGAAATTTAAAACAGTGCCCGACCTCAAGGAGTTTGATACATTGATGGAGAAAGATCACGGTTTGTTTTTAAGATTGACCTGGGAGTGGCCAGCGTATTTTTAAGTCAGTACAAGGGTAACGTTGGACACGTTTCTGGAATCTCCTCCCAGGAGGACGTATTATACAATCAGTGCAAAACATCATCTTGGTCTGCAAAGCTGACCACAACCAGACAATTTGTTTTCGAGCTTGACCTAAGCTTGTTACAGCTTATTGTCTGGCCAGCGTGGCCATACAGGGTTTTACTCAGCCTGTTTTTGAGGTTGAAGGATTAAGTGTGTGTTGGTATTGTCCTCACTGACAGGTATTGATTCTGTAGACAGCCATTGACGTAAATCTGGAGGAATGTGACCTTTCGGGGCAAGCCAGGTGAACCGCTACCGACTAGTGACCACTGAAGCCGTTGCTTGCTGACCACTGTATTGGACAAGCCTGGCAAATTGATCCAAGTTTGATGTATGTTTATGACAGAAGAGAAACGCTTGCAGCTCCTTCCTGTAGGGCCTTGTTTTGGGGATGGGGGTGGGCCCTGGGGGGTGGGGACTGACACAGTATTGATCTGGTTGTTGTTTAGCCTGGGGGGTAAGGGTGAGGGTTTGGTGAATGGAGAAGAAAAAGGAGTAGGGGTGTAGTGATGATGAGATTGGTACTTGCCACAACTTCTAATCATTTTGGTTTGTGGCAAAGGATATGAAACCTTTGTCATTTTGGGTACGGAGGGTGTTCATTGCTGTTTGTGTTGGAGGGGAATGATGACACAAGGAGTTGCAGTCATCATGTCTAATTATTTTGAATATTTGTTTGTTTCTCTTTTTTTTTGTTTATCGCTGCACTTAGCAATATTCCAGCTATGTGACAGCGCTGATTGACATGATGAGCACCAATCTATGCAGTTGGGATACGATAACATGCGTCAACCTAGTCAGCGAACCTGACCACCTGATCCTGTTAGTCGCCTTTTGACGAACATAGTTGCCGTATACGACAAACATGGGTTGCTGAAGACCAATTCTAACCCGGATCTTCACGATCTTTTAAATATTTACGTTTCAGGATTGAAGATAATGAAATTTGTGAGGGACAAAGGAGGCAGAGCTTTGCCTTTGTCCTTGGTGGGAAAAGCTGAACAAGACTAGAAACAAGACAACTCCATTTCTCAAAGCAAATCTTACAGCAACAACTCTTTTTCTCTTATAAAATAGAATAAAATTCCTAGCGTGATAGAATCTTTTGATAGACACTTTACAGTAATTTATAATAGATATTGATTATAATGGCTGCAGAAGTAGAACAAGTCCGGCATCAACTGTTTCTGAGCAAACAGGTGATACACAGTCTAGTCAGGTACCTTTGGCGCCGTAAATCTGTTGACTGTCCTGATTAAGCCGTTCTTGAAAGTAGCAGTTTGTCCAGTCACACATGATGTCAACTGAGATATGGCGCCTGTTAAACGTTTTACTATCAACCAGTTTTAGATAAGGTTATTCCCATGAAAGTATATGTGTGGATATTTTGGCTATTCCCATGAAAGTTCATGTGTGGATATTTTCAGCTATTCCCATAGAAGTTGATCAGTGGATATTTTTAGGTATTCCCATGAAAGTTGATCAGTTGATATTTTTAGGTATTCATATGAAAGTTGATGTGTTCCCATGAAAGTGGATCAGTTGATATTTTTAGGTATTCATATGAAAGTTGATGTGTGGATATTTTCACCTATTCCCATGAAAGTTGATCAGTGGATATTTTAGGTATTCCCATGAAAGTTAATGTGTGTAGTCTTTAATTGTCTTTCATCTAGCTCAACCTTGCTTCAATACATGAAGTGTGTGTGTATTCATGAAGTCATGAACACAAGTCCAATCTGGGAGAGCTTCTGTATTGATGACTAGGCCTGCCTGCAGTGCGTTCAGTTCAATGATTTGTTTTCAGAGTTTGTTTAGAGGACACAAGCACATGGTTAGTCGTCCTACAAAGAGGACAGTGTACATAACCAGTGAGTCAACTGATATGGATCCAGCGACAGGTTTTTTTAGCTGTGGTGCTGTACTCCGTGGATAAGGTCTGGTGACTTTAACAAATGATGTCACTCTGTGTAGGTCGATCAGGAACGACTCATCTACCCAACAGCTGATCAATACAAGATGTGGTGTTTATAGCACATGTATACACCAGTTGGAGTATACTGTATACTATACACCAGATGAACCTGATGTGAGTGGGACGAGGAAGTGATAGGGGAGGGGGAGGCTTTGATGTGTGGAGCTACATCTGAGGGTTTGCTGGGAGAGAACATCTGAAAGGGTGAGAGGGTCGTTAGTAGAGGTGAAGGGTTTGAAGGGTAGTGATAGGGGAAGTCGATTTTAGGAGGGGAAGGTGGAGTGATGTGGTAGGAAGTTGATGGGGGTATGGTTTGGGTGGTTAGATGGGGTGTTCTCTATTGTTTGTGTTGCATTTATATGTTCCACTAAAACAATGCTTTTGTATATTAGTCCCTACCATGCAACTTCCCTTCAGTCAGTTGTAAAGCCCATTTATGGTGTCCTGCGTCTGCTTGTGATCTCACTATCAGGGCAGACGTGAAACTGCAGTGAATCAATCTGTAGCCTTCAGTCATATGCTGGAAGAGTAAAATTATTTTATTTCACTGAAACTTTCAATCAGAATAAAGAAGTTAACATCCTCCTTGAGTCATCTCTCTGTGTCTTTTTTTCAGGAAATATTAAGCAAATATGATCTTAATGCAACATTTTAACCGGCGTCCGATTTGCATTTCTCTGCAGTGCTCCTAAAACCATGATAGACGGTCTATTGATTTTGTTAAACAATAGGCCTATTCATAGAGTCCCAGAGTGCTTGCATACCTAACTGCCAGGAGTAAACGTGCACCCTGTGGCTGCAACACGTACAGGTTTATATGACAAGATCCATAACAGCAGGACTACAGGGAATTAAAATATTGTTTGTGTCTTGAATTATCCAGTATTCTGATCCAAACAGGACTGCACCACAAAAATGAGTGAATAAATAGACTGGGGATATAGGGATTGGAAGCATGGTTCAATAGTTTCCCAGATCTGTCCAGTGTTGGGAAAGAAAAGAGTCATGTGTTTATGAGTAAGACTATTTTGAGCATGCCTGGAGACTTATTTAGTCATATTTATTTTAACATATTTAAAGCTATTTGTTCATTTGTTACATGTAGGTTTTTACCAAACATAATGAAATAATCTCAATCTAAAGATTGTTGTTCAAATCCTACATTCAACATTATTACAATCCACCATATATAGCACTCACTAACTCACTCACTCACCAGTAAGAACTCACTCACAGTATGAACTCGCTCACCAGTATGAACTCACTCACTCACCAGTATGAACTAACTCAAAGTATGAACTCACCATTATGAACTCACTCACCAGTATGAACTCACTCACTCACCAGTATGAACTAATACTCAAAGTATGAACTCACTCACTCACCAGTATGAACTCACTCACTCACCAGTATGAACTCACTCACTCACTCACCAGTATGAACTCACTCACTCACCAGTATGAACTTACTCAAAGTATGAACTCACTCACTCACCAGTATGAACTCACTCGCTCACAAGTATGAACTCACTCTCATGTATGAACTCACTCACCAGTATCAACTCACTCACTCAGCAGTATGAACTCACTCACAAGTAAGAACTCACAAGTATGAATTCACTCTCTCACAAGTATGAACTCACTCTCTCACAAGTATGAACTCACTCTCTCACAAGTATGAACTCACTCACTCACCAGCAAACAGGAAAACGCAAATGTTTTCAAATTAAGAATCACAGGGAAGTTGGGTGAGGGTTGTAGTTTTAGAAGCAGATGTTGCAGCAGCTTGTGGGTAGGTTGGTTGGAGTTTGTTGGACCTTGACTTCTGGTGGGAGGTAGCCCAGTAGTAGCTTGCCAGGACCCAGATACACCTCGCGTACATACAGCTGATAACTCAAGCAGTCCAGGACAGGCTGTGCGTGGGTGTATAAGGACTGCTGCCTGTTACCCAAACCAGCTGACTATCAGCTATGAGTGCGTGCCTTCCTGAAATTTGGGTCATCTTGTGGTTTGCAGGGAAAGATGTAGTTTTTCACAAAGATGTAGGGATTTTCACAACAACTTGTTAACACAGGACAACTTATTGTCATGTTATTGCTCTTGTTGCTAGTCTCTGACATACCGGAATTGAAAATGTTTGATATGATTTTGCAATATATCATTTGGATTAAAAAATCCAAGAGTGGGTGTTTGTAGTACATGTACTATGACTATCTAACTCTATATGATTTAGCATTGAGTTACAACTGTCAGAGTGCGGCAAACGCTTAGTGGATCCGGACCCTGGACCCACAAAATCTACATGGACTGAAGAAAGAATACATGTAACATGGATCAACTAAATGTGGCACTAACCCCATGAAGAAATGTCCTCAAAATAAGTCGTCTTAATTACAGAGTTGGTGAACTTTTTGTATCATGGAAACCCTTCAAAGTCCAGCTGTAATGTTGTTCCCTCACTCAGAGGCTAAAGTGGTCTTCTTCTTGATTCTTTAATCAACCCGTCAATGCCAATTTCACTTTCGTGTGAAGGCAACATTTTATGTGCGACTTTATTGCACTTGATACAGGATGAATTAAGATTGACCATGAAATCTACACTGACGTTGAGTGCACATCACACAGGCTGACATGTTATTATCCTATTTTAGTGCACGTTGAGTTAAGTTTGATTAAGATGGTAACTCATCTACAGCCCTTGTACCTCATTAACAACCTGCAGCCCTCACATTCCACACATTTCTTATTTATCAATATAAGCCTGTATCCCTAGCCAGAGAAAACTCCATGAAATGTACATTTGTATGAGAGCTAGGCTGGCGGTTAGAATACCTAGTGTTTGGTTTGATTGACAGCTGTGTTTTTCTGGAACGTTACCTGCGTCATCAGTTACAGTGCTAACCTTGTTGCAATCGACGCCCTATAGACAAGATAGGGATCTGTATAATGCATCACAAGTAAGAAATAGATTTGGTATATTCACTGTGTGCATCATGTTATAAACCCGCTGTACAATGGTTGGGTATTGAGTTATAACAGTGGAAGACAGGTACATGACAAGGTATTGACATAATCAGTGATGTTCTATTTCAATTAAGATGGATATCATTCTAATAACTTATTTTTGAATTATGCCTGGTGTACTTTTGAGGAATGATGCATATTGTGTTATGCATGGCATACGCTAGAATGTGACCAGATGATTAGTGGGTGACACATGTCTTGAAGAGGCATGCAACTGACTTGTGTTTACAAGCAATGTACGTAATCTTGATTCAGTGTGCATCCATTCGGATATTTAATATTACTTGCACCTAGTAACATTTATAATATACAACACATGATACATTATGTTACATCTACATTGTGATACTTGCAATATACAACACATGATACATTATGTTACATCTACATTGTGATACTTGCAATATACAACACTTGATACATTATGTTACATCTACATTGTGATACTTGCAATATACAACACTTGATACATTGTGTTACATCTACATTGTGATACTTGCAATATACAACACTTGATACATTATGTTACATCTACATTGTGATACTTGCAATATACAACACTTGATACATTATGTTACATCTACATTGTGATACTTGCAATATACAACACTTGATACATTATGTTTCATCTACATTGTGATACTTGCAATATACAACACATGATACATTATGTTACATCTACATTGTGATACTTGCAATATACAACACTTGATACATTATGTTACATCTACATTGGGATATTTGCAATATACAACACATGATACATTATGTTACATCTACATTGTGATACTTGCAATATACAACACTTGATACATTATGTTACATCTACATTGGGATATTTGCAATATACAACACTTGATACATTATGTTACATCTACATTGGGATACTTGCAATATACAACACTTGATACATTATGTTACATCTACATTGTGATACTTGCAATATACAACACTTGATACATTATGTTACATCTACATTGTGATACTTGCAATATACAACACTTGATACATTATGTTACATCTACATTGTGATACTTGCAATATACAACACTTGATACATTATGTTTCATCTACATTGTGATACTTGCAATATACAACACATGATACATTATGTTACATCTACATTGTGATACTTGCAATATACAACACTTGATACATTATGTTACATCTACATTGGGATATTTGAAATATACAACACTTGATACATTATGTTACATCTACATTGTGATACTTGCAATATACAACACTTGATACATTATGTTACATCTACATTGGGATATTTGCAATATACAACACATGATACATTATGTTACATCTACATTGTGATACTTGCAATATACAACACTTGATACATTATGTTACATCTACATTGGGATATTTGCAATATACAACACTTGATACATTATGTTACATCTACATTGGGATACTTGCAATATACAACACTAACATGTACTGATACGTCCATCAGGTGAAAGGTACGCCAGACGACTTCCTACTCTAAGATTGACAGAACTCGGATGACATTTCCCTGTCGCTGATGACTCACTACCTTTGTAGGTTTGTCAATATCGGCATTGTGTTTCATCTACGATTGTATATCGGAGTTGTTTTGCAGTCAGGTCATCTCCATGAGCCCTCCCACTCTAAAGCCAAGTCTTCTCCATGATGAATAACTGTAATACATGTGCTTAGACATGTGAATTTTGTAGAATTAAGACAGGAAAAAATGATTTGGGCTCTGTGAAAATTATGACTTTTAAACTAATTGCAAGAACAATACATGATATCCTACACTGATTATAGAAGAGTTCCTGCTTTTTGAGAAAGATACTTAAGGATTGACCTCAATATTTTTTTGAGTTTGAGGACGTGTGATGTAAGCAAATTGTGTAAACCGTTTTTTACTTTTTTAACTCCATAAACACTAAAATATGTTGAAGTCAAATCTTATAAATAAATGTCAACCATAATAATTTCACGGACTTCTAATTTAATCATTAGCACAAAAAACTATAGAGAATTAATGACATTGTTCTGCACAATAATGCAACACAACCCTGCTAGTTCTATTATCAACCAATCAGGAAATAGAAGTCTGCTAGTGGGTGTGGCCTGTATTTTTTTCAGTTTATGGAATCATAAACTCCCCAAAAATTGGTTGTTAGTCAAATGCTTGGAATAACTTACAGTTTATTTATTTATTTATTTATGTTTATAACACAAAGAATACTATTTTTCAAAGTGGTATGGATTTTGTAGACTGGACATGAAAAAGGACCTGTTAGTTTCATAAAAAATCTTGGTGGCCATTTTAAAATTCTAAATCATATGATTATAACTCAGGATTCCATTTTGTTTTTAATCAGACATTTCTTTTCAAAGGACCATATTAATTTTTTGTAAGAATTCTGTATTTGGATTTTTCATGGTTATATAGGACTAAAGAGAATCATGTTTAATTTTCAGTCTCTTTTGTCAAACTGACCATAGGAACTGACCATGGTACTTCAGAAGCACGCCAGACAATAGTAATTGGAAAATGTCTGGCTGTTGGGGGAATGGGGGTGGGGAGAGAGGATGACACACGTTGCCAGAAGACACTGCCAGTGTTTAGTAGTATGCGAGTGACTCACTCATTGACCACCAGGGGGAGTAGGATCTTCGATCAAGGAGGATAATTGGTAAATTGATATTTTGGGGAATGCTTTGACGTCATAACTCGAAACAAAGAACATTAATTTGGTCGTCAGACTCGCAGAGGAAGCGATGTGAGACAATTACTATTTTGCAGTATGCATCATTGCGACAGGTTGTTGTGATTCCCTTTGATGTCTCAGCTGCAGTTGTTGTTGTTGTTTCTGCTAGTCCTGAATGGTGTTACTGTTGTGACCTCTGCTGTGTGTTGTTGGTGGGCATTTAAATCCGGACCATTGCCGTCGGACACATTGATGACTATGTTTATTGTCTGATATTGTCAGAGATGTTGCAATGGCGTAGTTGTATTGCAGATGTTGTGTTGGTTGTTTGTTTACAGCAGACAGAGTCTGTTTGATCTCATGATGCTGTGAATATTTTGAATGAATTCAGAATTTGGTTCATTGTGTTGAAAGTTCAAATAGTGTAGTGAACTTATCCATGAAAAGACATGAATGTTTACATGCAACATTGAAACAGATACAAAAGCTGTCTATAACATGGTTGTGTAGAATTCAGTCACTGAAATCTAATACCACCTTGGAGCTGTGCATTGGAAGGAGGACCATAGGACCTAGATGAGCAAGTACAGGTCCTAGGTTCATTATCATGTGACATGTCATGTGATTAGGTTCTCAATCATGTGACTACTAGACTTTTTAGGGGGCTTGGCATACCAGACAGTCTGACCTTTTGACCCTGTTACCCCCAAGAGTGCATGTGGAGCATTAAGCTGATGTGCATGTTCCTGTGTGAGTGAGTCATGTTCATCTATTGCTTCCGGATCAGATTCATCTGCTCATCCTCCTTCCCTTCTCCAGATATAGGAGATTAGGTCCTGATGCCTGCTCCCTTACGTATCCCAGCCAGACATATCTGGGCTGGTTCTCTTTACTAGCAGCCTTTATACTCCCCCCCCCCCCCCCCCCCCCCCACACACACACACACACACACACACATTATCTCCCTCTTGCAACTTATTTCTGTCCACACTGGCCTTACCCATCTCTTCCTCCCAGTCACCCCCTGCTGTCTCACCCTTCACACCATTGGTACTTATATATCTCCATGCCGACCCTGCCCTCATTCTCCCACACAGTCACCCCCTGTCATCACTCACACACCCCTCACACCATTGGTACTTATATATCTCCATGCCGACCCTGCCCT